TCAGAAGTGAGCTGCGTGAAAATGATGTATGGCTGCAAAAGATGATTCAATAGTAGATGAGGAAATAAGAATTATTGCTTATTTTTTGATTGTTTAATTGATTTGTAAAAGATGATTTGTAAAAGTTGATTTGTTTAATTGATGTGAACATAATTCTTATTTGTGCTTGTTTAATTGATTGAAATGTAATGGTTGATTTTGTTGATTTCAATCTGCATTATGTTGAAGGCAAAAATGACTATCGCAATGCGAAATGAAAATCGCAACGAGGGAATCGCAACGCGAAACTAAATTCGCATTGCGATTTTCATTTCGCTTTGCGATTCCCTCGTTGCGATTTTCATTTCGTATTGCGATTCTCTCGTTGCGATTTTCATTTCGCATTGCGATAGTCATTTTTGCGTTGCGATAGACATTAAGATGATTGCGAACGTCATTTCCGTGTTGCGATAGTCAAATGAATGCCTAATAAGTGATAACAACTAAACAGGTCATAGCAATTTTCAAATTCAAGTTACTAATACATGCCTAACTAAAAATGTTAAAAGTTCACACATAAAATCTACATAATAAAACGTTTGCATTTAAAAATCACCTAAGTTAACAGTCCCAAAAGGTGAAGCCGGTTTTGATTGTGATTTTAAAGATGATTGCAATTTTGATTGCCTTTTGCTTGACACCATATGAGCTTTGAATTTTGATGAGGATCCATATTTTGGTAGAGGAAAAGATGATTGTGATGGCACTGGTGATCCACATGTCAACCTTGTATGACCACTTTCCTTGCACCGACTACATATCGATCTCTTCTTCTCTTCACCCTTAGACGGTATACGATCGTGACTTTTTGGTCGGTCAGGTAGCCTTCTGTCCATGGCTGGTGGCAAAACTATTTGTAAGTCATCTGGTATGTCCCACTCAGAAGGATGTGGAATAGGGTAGACAATCTCGCCATAAGTCTGTTGATATACTTCTGTAGTGTAGCAATCCATAACGTATGCGCTTGAATAATCTTGGTTTAGATGAAGAGAAACTTTTATAACATGGCCACACGGATAACCAGATGTTTGCCATTTCATACAACTACATGTCTTTGCATTTAGATCGACAAGCCCATTTAAGTTATTATCCAGTACTTCAAACAAAGTGTTTGAACATGGTTCAACTCTCCATGACGTTGACTTCACAACACGTTTCGTTATCTTTTTTTCTGTCATGGTGTAACACGATGTTCCAATGTTCCTGTAAATTTAAATAAATAATACTTAGTAAAATATATGATAAGTTACGAATTTAAAGAAATAATACATGCATGGTTTCTTTTCTTGTAGTACCACTGTTGAATAGAGGCTCGAAAAAACTCCATTAACATAGTAATGGGTAATTTCCGAGAATGACGACTTAGAGCGTTGATTGATTCTGCACTATTAGACGTTATAAAACCATATCTTGCTCCAAGTTGATATACTCTTGACCATCTTTCAAACCCGACATCTTCTAGTGTTTGAGCAGACTGAGGCAAAACACGTCTTAAACAGTTTATATACTTATTAAAATCCACTTCCCGATAAGCTTTACAGCCTTCCAGTATGTCCATTTGTGATTTTTTATACCAGCAGACATTGATTTTAGATTTTTATACAAATGAACACCACAAAGTCCATGAAAAGCATCTGGGAAACACCTTCTAACAGCGTTGTCAATTGAGTTTGCCCTATCGGATATGATTGTCAGATTGCTAATAGGATCTATGCAATTCCTAAGATGCCCCATAAACCATGTCCATGAATCAGAGGTTTCAGATTTTCCAACCCCGTAAGCTATTGGCAGTATCCCATTGTTAGCATCCATGGCTACTGCTAATAAGTTTACTCCAAGGTATCGACCTTTTAAATGTGCTCCGTCGACTATAATAACTGGGCGCATGCAATTAATAAACGAACGAATCTACAAAATCATATACACAAGAAATATAATCATTTAAATGTGAAATGCATGTAACTAACAAAAATGAGTCAACAAAATTATATTGATTTACTAACCGCAGCACCAATGGCGATAAACAGCAACTCAAAGCGTCCATCTCTATCTGTTTTGATATGAGTTACCGACCCAGGATTTTTCAGCTTTAAATTGTAACAATAAGCCGGCAGTTGGGCAAACGATGCTTCTGGCGACCCCCTCAACAATTCCAAGGCATAACATTTGGCTCTCCAAGCTTGAGAATATGAGATACTAATCTTGAACCGAGCATTCATGTCAGTCATAATTTCATGTCCCCGATATACCCTACCATTCAAAAACATTAACTCAGCTAGAAAATCACCCAACACCTTTTTTTTTGCCTGTCTATGGTGAGGAAAAACTTGGGTTCTTGAACATGTATGTTTATCAATAAAAGTCCTAACTTGAAACATTTCGCAATCTTTTATCCTCTTTGCAATCATACGCCACATACAGTTTTTGTCAATCATACACCTTGTTTCGAAACGATCTTTGCTTGATTTGTTAACTTTTAGTTGATAGCCATCTTCCACACATTTCGTATACAAAGCTATCTTCAAGTCATCCTTTGTATCAAAACAATCATCTTTCTTGATACGAATAATTTTTGTGTGACAATCAATTGCTATCTTTACCAACTCTTCTTCCGGTATCTGAAGTAATTCTGGCATATTCCAGTTATACTCCCGTGGCATTTTCTTCGGGGACTTTTCTTTGGGGATTTCTTCTTCTTCTTTTTATTCTTCAGTGTTATATGAATTACAGAATGGATGTTCAACATGTTCATTTACAGTCGTAACTTTCTCCTCATTATCATCAACAACATCTTTCTCGGCAACGGCTGTTTCATCATCAAAATTCGGGTATTGACCAATATCAAAATCATTACACACATGGTCTGTTTCTTCTTCTGAAAAATCATCAAAATCCGAGTATTGACCAAGATCAAAGTCCGGGTATTGACCAAGATCAAATTTCGAATACTGACTAGTACTCACAATTTTTTTTGTTGGCTCATCTTCGTCTAACTGGTCAATACGAAAATCGGAATTTGGTGCTGAAAGTTGATTGGGATTTGGATTAGGGAAAGGTTGTGGGTTTTGAGATTGTGTTTGGTATTGGAAATATGGTGAAACAATATTTGCTTGGTGATGAAATTGTGGTGGAACCATTAAATTTTGAGCACCATAAACTGGGGTTGAAAAACTTACCCGCTACTGACCCAACTTCACTACTTCTAGGTTCAACAACATACAATGTAACATCATCACTTGAAACACTAATGTAAGCAATGAATCGTTCAACATTTTCATTGTCAGTTAACAAATAAACTTTACCATTTCTCTGATAAGATAGCCTAAATCCACTTAGGGGCTCTAAATTCAATTTATTTGCAACACGTAACATTAGAGTTTCATAAGTTAACTTTTTTAATGACAGTTTTAGTTGAAGATTCATGGGTAAAGGCATATATTGTAAAACACCATGAACATTCTCCCATGACCCTCCAAAACACAAATCTATCCAAACATGATCAACATTAGATGATTTCATTATTGTAAATTAATTTACTAAACAAACGAGCTGCGAAACTAAAACCTGTTGCCGGATGGGGAAGGATGTCGTTGGATATAGGAACGGATATCGCCGGAGAGAGTGATAGATGGAGATGTAATGAGTTGCGATTTAGGGATTTAGATTATGAGTTGCTGCTGTTGCGTATTTATATACCCAAAACATTTGTGTTGCGAAATTAAAACCTGTTGCGAATTCAGAAATCAAGTTGCGATTTTGAAATTCAGTATTGCGATAGTCAGAATCTCGTTGTGATTTACTAAATCGCTATGCGATTACGTAAATCGCAATGCGAATTAGGAAAATCGCAATGCGATTACGTAATCGCAACGCGAATTTGGGAAATCGCAATGCGATAGTCAGAATCTCGTTGCGAATCTGGAAACTGATTTGCGATATCAGAGATCGCGTTGCGAATTATCGATCGCATTGCGATTTAGTTGGTCATTTTGGCAAATCCAAAAAAAGTTGATTAAAATCGTATATTATAAGGCATTTTTGGTCACTGAGGTTATTTTCTCTATTAAAAATAAAGTTGAAAGGACTGTATATTTAATATGACCGATAATGTTTTTTTTATTGCCTTTTTTTTCATCCTGATTTCAAGGTTTCTTCTTGACTAATTCGGATCAACATGCGTTGCATACCTGGTTTTGGTAGGTGAGTCTCATATCAGGGATTTTCTGAATACACAAAGACTCAAACTTGAGGCCTTACTTAAGCGATATCAAGTTGTTTACCATTTAAACCAACCCCTGTTAATAATATAGCCCATAAAGTTCATGCTTGAAGTATTTACTTGGAAGATGCTTTCTCCACAAACCATAAAAAATTCCTTTAAAGCACACGGCTTTCCCTTACTCATTATCAATTGTCTTAGTCCTGTCTCAACTGCAATTTCTCCATATGCTGGTATCAACGACGTTCGAGGTCGAAGGTGATGGCAGCCTCAACTGTGAAGATGAGGATGGGGGTGAAGGTTGAGATGTATCATGATCGTTGAATTGTAGCTTAATTTCAATCAGTTGGGCAACTAGACACTCTTTTGGCAGTTCGTTAAGAATGGGGTTCATTGTGGCTCCAGCGTATTAGCGACAGATTTAACACCTGAGTTACCTTATAAACATTCAAAATAAACATTTGCTTGCTTGCTTTTTATATAACTTACGGCTGAAACTTTAGCATAAGCAATGTAACATTAATGGTTGAAACTAGTATTATTACAACTTTCTTGCTGGGATTCTTGTTTTATGTTTGACATACAAAAGCAGAACGTACAATCTACAGATTTAGCATTGCTATTTGAATTTTTTTTAACTCAAACTCAACTTTTGATCTTAAATTTCGTCATATATAACAAATAATTCATAGGTAAAATCATATTTATTAATATTCCACAATAAAAGTTAATCGTTCGGACCTTTCAATTCATATATAAGGATCTCAAGCATGTCGAGTCTTAACCACCTGAGGCTGGGGTTCACCTATTAAGAGCAAGTTTTAGAACAGCAAGAGACACTTGGTACATATCTGATGTGGGCATTAGAGAAGACCGGGAAGGCCGTACCGCTGCCTCTGGTGCACCAGTTCTAGCCCACAGGAAACGCCGGCAGCCAATTGCACAGACATTTCATGAGATCAAACATCATAGGCAAAACATAAGTATAATCCTCAGCACAAAATTAGAATTATGGAGACGCTGATTGAGAATAAGTACCAACTCCCCACACTTTTTGTCATATTTCTAAAATCATTCACCCGAGTTATCCAGGGAAAATTTGCTTTTCCCTTTCAAATACAGAATTGGATCCCAATTAAGGCCGCTAACATCATATTCGATTCAGAATTATGGCTATGCTATAACAAAATTAAAACCATATCTGATATATGCTGATGGTGAGGAGACAGTTGAGAATAATAAACTGTGCCACGAGTTGCAATCATCAAAACGTAAGGTATATATAAACTCTGCCTTCAATAAACGAGAAATGCATTCAACCACAAGCAACTGAAGTGAAATTGGTTGTCAAAGACTTGAAGCACATGATACTATATATATACTACAAAAACTGCGTTGTTCCGAGGATTAGGTTTTTTCATCCACTTTATTAGTGCATGAGATGGGTTCAAATGAATCAAATCCAACTGGGGAGGTCTGATTCATTTGAAAAGAGTTCAAAATGTGTTACAAAGTTCTCAGGTATCAAATAGGAAGTCATCCCCATCAAAGACATTTGGTAAGTTAATTCACAGACTCAACACATGAAACCAAGTTTTCCTACATTGATTGAATGAAAATCAATAACTACCAACGAGGAAGAAATCAAACCTCTTGAATGATAAATACCAATCAATCATCCCTCGCGTGCGAATTCAACCCGAATATTTCGACCATCCAATACCTAAAAACAACCATTATATGCAACATCAGATCTCAACCCAACTGCTCATTTATCATAATAGAAATGTATATGGGTCAAGAATTAAAATTGAGTTATTGAATTAATTACTTTAAACATACCTGGGAATGCATTTCCTTAAGAGCAGCAATGGCTGAAGATTCAGAAGTGAAACGCACAAACCCATACCCTCTTGATTTCCCACTCACATGATGAGCAATAACACGAACTGTTAAAGCCCAAACTTTTTTAACCTGGCAAAGCACAAAATCACGTCAAAATATAAATATCCAGGAAAAGTACCTTCAATGATTTCACCATGCCTTTCAAAAGCATTCTTCAAAACAGTCTCGTTGGTATCATATGAAAGCCCTACAGTCAATAGAACTTATCACAAACCAATTATATAATAGTAAAATCAGAAGAAAGTAGTAAACATACATTCCCTTCAAATCGGATAAAGAGAACAAGAAAAAGAGTAGGAAATTTTTGAGACCTCCAACAAATAATTTTGAGCAAGAATTGCGAGCCCAGAGAGATCTAGCCAATGGGTATTTACGAAAAACACGAACTGTCCCGTTTATACTCTGCATTATGGTGTACGGTTGCCGACAGCTGACAAATAAGGAGTCAACAACTAAGCCGATGATCACTTTCATAAGGATTCCATTTCATCAAACAGTTGGTCGGCAAACTTTAAAACTCATTGCAATCACGAAATTAGAACACAAATTAAATCGACAACAAAAAAAGCAGTAACAAAAAAAATCAGGCCGCTACCGTATCAGTGTTTTTATTTTTATTTTATTTTAGAAATTCGGAAGAAGCGAAAGCATGGGTGGCTCAAAGCATCAAATTGGGAGAAACCACCACAAGAAACAAATAAAAACAATTTTTAATACATTTTTCGCTGATATGCGCTTCTTTTACTATAAAGTTTCTAACTTTTTCTTATTGTAAATTTAATTATAGCAATTAAATAATGGAGGGAGAAAATTGATTTTCGCTGCAAAATTCGTCATGAAAAAATTAAATTCCGAAACCTACCCAGCCGCAGCTCAGTCACTATCCAAGTTCCATAATATTATTCTTCCCCAAAAAAAAAAGTTACATGATATTAGCCAATGACATCTGCCACGTCTCTGCCTTTACATCCCACCAAAACTAGCCCTCACGCATCTTTCCATCCGTCGATACAAATTCCTAATCCAATGGCGACAAATCTCCATGTGGCGAATCCGGGTAATCACGCGTCATCCAATCAAAATCTTTCTTTCTTTCCTATAAATATCACACAACCTTGACCATCTCAACTCATATCAAATCGTCGGAAAACATCCCAGATATTTGGCCGTAGGATATGACGGAGCTAATGGTGGAGTCCGGTGGGGAACTGGTGAAATCATGAGGGGATATAATTGAAGCTAATGGTGGGATTGCAGACATCAGAGTGGATGACTGTGTAAGAAGCTTCACTTCTTATGTCATTTCGAAAGTGGTTTTCGGAGATGAGTGGCAAAAGGGAATGGAAATATTCCCAAAATCTCTAGCTCTCATTAATGCCATGAGCTCGCCAACAATACTTAGTGGTATCCCTTTCTTCAGGTAGTTTGCTCCCAAATTGAGTTCAAAAATCTATTACAATGCTCAACCTGATTATTCATCTTCCCCCCACAGATACCTTCCCACTAAAAACAATAGAGAGATTTGGAGGATTGAAAAGGAGATTCATTCGATAATTATGGGGATAGTAAAGAAGCACGCTGAGAGTGAGACCGCATGTAAAGATTTGTTGCAAGTGGTGATTGAAGGTTCGAAAGGTAATCTGGAGCCATCTATAACAGCCGATCAGTTCATAGCCGACAACTGCAAGGACATCTGCATCCCTGCGTCCGAAGTTACCGCACAGTTTCTGCGATATGGAGACTGATTTTATTGGCTTTACATCCTGAATGACAGACTCGTATCCGTGCTGAAGTTTCACAAGTGTGCGAGAATGGCGTGCTGAATTTTGACATGCTTCACAAGATGAAAATGGTACGTAATATAACTATGACTCGAGATTCTGGACTCAAAACTCTAAATTTCTTCGTGTTTATTGCAGTTGAAAATGGTGGTTCTTGAGGTGTTGCGACTTTATCCAGCAACAGCATTTGTTTCAAGGCAGGCCTGCAAAATCTGAAGCTGGGTGACGTAGAAATCCCGAAAGGGGTTAATATTTGGTTATGGATGCTAGAATCGCACACCGATCCTAAACTCTGGGGACCAGATTCAACAAAGTTCGATCCTGAGAGGTTTGCCAATGGCATTTGAAGAGCATGCAAAAGTTGTCAAGCCTACATTCCATTCGGTTTAGGGGCTCGAGAGTGTCCTGGGCAGAGCTTTGCGATGACTGAACTTCAGGTGTTGTTTGCAATCATCGTGTCCAACTTCATCCTCACCATCGCTCCAAGCTATCGCTACTCGCCTCAATACGCATTGCTGACCGAGCCGGAATTTGGCGTTAATCTCCTTGTTCGAAAGATATGAGCGCCATTTCTTCCTGCCGACGACGTTGACAAAAAACTACATTATAAATAAGTCAATGATTCTTGTATCTTATAATCTCGTATGCAATGCAATTTAGTTACAGAATTAAAGAATTCCAAAATCCCCCGACCCCCATCTCTTGTCTACAATGCGATTCTCTTAAATAATTTAAATTGATGTGCTGCACTTTGTTCCAAAAAAACGATGGTATGGATGAGAGTAATTTTTTGAATGGCTAGAAACTTTTTTTCATTAGGTCTTAATATATTTTTCTAAATAAGAATTTGAATTCTACAAAAGACTTATTTTATTTGATATTTGATAGTAGATAAAAAAAGCTAACCTTCAATTATTTTTCAAACTTAAAATTTTCATTATTATTCTTAAAAATATATTGATATAATTTTAAATTTAGGAGGAATAATAATGATATTTTAAAAGGATATGATTAAGAAAAATAATAAATGTAATTTTTTAAACAAATTAGAGCGGTTAATTTGTTAAACAAATTAAAATAATTCATAACAAAGTCATAATCTTAAAAAAATCTAGTAAATACTAAAATAGACAAATCATGCTACCCTACCCAACCATTTTCCCCTACTTATAAACTAACTTTTAAATAATGAAAACATGACCATAAATAAAAATGATTTAAAAAATCCTACTAAATAATTTAAAAAATAAATATAAACAAATATTACTTTTAGTGATGAATAATAAGTATCATCAACACTAACATAAAAATTATAACGATAGTATCAAATTAATAATTGACTTTATCACAACTGGAATATGAGATTTAAAAAAATAATATAACGATAACATAAACAATTAAATAAAAGAGAATATAACAATAACTGTGAATAATTATTTATATAAAAAAATCAGTATAAAATTTAAATCATTCTGCTTCTGGCACGTTGATAGCTTCCACGGTTGATCATGTAAGTTGCAGTATTGATAGCTTCAGCCCATAGCAATTTGGTAAGTTGCACATTCATTCAGAGAAGTTGCACGTTCATTCAGAGTTCTGTTAATGAGTTCTGCTACGCCATTCTGCTGTAGTGTCATGGGAAATGTTGTCTCCATCTTGATCCAATTGTTTGCGCAGAAATCTCTGAATCTACTGTTTCTGTACTCTCCTCCATTGTCAGACCTCAACCGCTTGACTTTCAAACCAGTCTCATTTTCCACCATGACCTTCCATTTTCTGAAGGTATCAAAGATTTTTTTTTTCTTCTTCAGAAAATAAACTCACACCTTCCTTGTTGAATCATCGATGAAAGTGACATAATATAATGAGCCTGCAAGAGATGGAACTGGAGATGATCCCCATACATCAGTATGAACCAACTCTAATTTTTCAGCCTTAGGTGTCTTGTCAATCTTTGCAAAATTGAGTTTCTTTTGTTTGCCAAAGATGCAATCTTCACATAGTCCGACATCTACATTCTTTAGATCCGACAGCTTCCCTTTTGACAAAAGCGTCTTCATCCTTTTCTCGCTCATATGGTCAAGCCTTTGGTACCATAGGTTTGATTTTCCATCAACATCTGCGGCTGCAATGATATTCTCTAAATTTGAGGTTACATAGAGAGTATCAGTCTTCTTACCACGAACAATGACGAGTGCTCCTTTGGTAATCTTCCATTCACAGCCTGAAAAGGTTGTGCTATATCATTCTTCATCAAGTTGTCCTACAGAAATCAAATTTCTTTTGAGACCAGGAATATGTCTCACTCCTTTCAGCATCCAGGTGGTCTGGTTCGATAATTTTAATCGAATGTCTCATTTTCTGACGATATTCAAGGTTTCATCATTAGCTGGATGAACCTTCCCAAAATCACCACTGACATATTTCTCCATGATTTCTTGGCATGGGGTGGAGTGGAAAGATGCTCCTGAATCCAAGATCCATGATTCAATTCGATTATTGACGCTTAGAATCATGGCATCACCTGTCTCATCTGTCATGTTGGCTTCCTATACGCCGGTATATTTCTTTAGTGCTCGGCAATCTCTTTTAAAGTGACCATTCTTACCACAATTATAACAGGTAATTTTTTTCCCGTTCTTGATTTTCCCGTTCTGGATTTGGATATGCCACGATTTGAATTTCTTTCTGAAGTTCTCCCTCTAGACTCCATGTGCAAGGCTGAGGAGGTTGATACTTCACCCGATTCTCTTCATTGAATTTCTTCGCTCAATATCAGATCCTGAACATCGTCGAATTTCAATTTACTGTTTTCCGACGAACTACTAACTGCTGTAACAGTAACATTCCAACTATCTGTTAGAGATGATAAAAGAATTAAAGCTCGAACTTCATCATCGAAATCAATTTCCACGGAACTCAACTGGGTTATGATAGTGTTGAGTTCATTTAGGTGTTGAGCCACTGATGCCCCTTCCGCCATTCGCAAATTGAATAATCGTCTCATCAAGTGAACTTTGTTTGAGGTCGATGACTTCTCATACATACTAGAGAGAACCGCTATAATACCCGCCGTGGTCTTTTCCTTTGCTATGTTGAAAACAATATTTCGGGATAACGTCAGTCGGATAACTCTGAAGGCCTGTCTGTCGAGAAGAGCCCAGTCTTCATTCTTCATGCCCTCTGGTTGCTTTCCTGAGAGGTTGATATAGATTTTTCTAGTACAAAAAATCTTTAATGAAATAAAAGCGAGAAAAATAATACCCGAAAATTGATAACGGAGTTCAGCCAATTATGCCTACGTCTCCGGACTGCTGCAGATCTTTTACTAAGAGAGAAAATGTCTAGGTGTTTATAAAACAATCACTACTCACAAGAAAGCTCTCTAGTATTGGGAGAAAGAAATAATTTGGAATGATTCTAAATGGGTAAGGATATTTATAGTTGAAGCTTAAAAACTAATATTTGAAAATACTCTAAAGTCCAATGACTAAAAATAATTTTCTCATGCCAAAAATTCAACAAAATTCAGCCCCCGAATTTTTTTTTCAAGCAGGCGACTGCTAAATTCTTTAACAACCCATGTTCTGTTGAATTTTCAACAACCACTACAAAGTGCAAAAGGGATGTCAAATGAGAGACAGTAGCTCAGTGGAAAAACAAGGAAAAGGTGTTCATATGATGACTAAAAAGTAACAGAATATAGGAAATAGCTGTCTTGTAGTTTTACAATTAAGCTGGTAGTTGATAAGCTAATGGTTGTCTCGTTGGCAATAAAACCAAGAATAAAGGAAGAGCAATGATATTGATAACAACCATACAACGCATTAAAAGAAAAAATTTACCAAAGTGCTTGAGCGATGAAATTGCTTACAACACATCCATCATCGATGTTCATCCGTGGTCCATATGTGTTGAAGATTCTAGCAATGCGTATCTCTAGATAAACCATAAAAGGACAATGTCAAGAATAATAATTATAGGATAACATCGTATAGGCAAACTAGAAAATTTTACCTATCCCATGTTGCCTATGATAATCAAGCATTAGAGTCTCAGCCACACTTTTCCCTTCATCATAACAGCTCCGAACCCCTATAAGACAAAAGAAGCATTCAGTGCCAAAATAATACTCTCATAATATTAAACATCCAGACAAGCCAACTTCCAAAGTCCAATTCGACATTACACAGTATCAACTAACAGCAGATTCGTATGGAAAGAAATTAAATATATTAATGGCAAGAATTTATCTTCTAGAGAAGATATTCTATCTTCACAAGTACAGAAGTTTCAAGCAAAAACTGTCTAGCAAGATGAGTGAATTCATAAAAGTGGCTCAGACTTCAATTGAAAAAACTTAACGATTGGATTAACGTTACCCCAGTATGATTCTGGTTGTGGATGGGTAAGGGATCTCCGTATACCTCTGAAGTAGATATGAGCAAGATCCTGTTCCACAAAATTTCAATTAAGTAGAGCCGGTGTAGAGGGGTAATGTATTTATAATGAACAGCATTCCCTAACCTTGCTCCGACTCGCTTGGCAAGTCCCAGCATGTTTAGTGTGCCAATGACATTTGTCTTTATTGTCTATGGAAATATGAAGTAAAATTAAAGAAGTGCTCATAAATATTTCAGAAAACAATCAAAACACACCAACACCGACCTTCACTGGATTTTATTTATAGAAAATTGGAGAAGCCGGGCATGCAAGGTGGTAAATCCGATCAACCTCAACAGGCAATGACTGGGTAACATCTGCCAAGAAGAAAAATTCATAAAAATGCCAAATTCCTCAAAATTGCTCGTCCGAATATAGTCTACTATCATCTCGACAGTCTTTAATCCAACCCATAGAGTTAAGTCCAAGTCTAAGCGCAGATGGTTAGAAACCATAAGAAGTTGACGTGACGAATAAGCTCAAATCTGGGATGATCAATCCACTTTCTAAGGTTGTCCTTTGATCCAGTGAAGTAATTATCGACAACAACCACCTGGTATAACCGTGTAGAACATAATAACCTGAGTAAATGGGTCAAATACTCGTATCAACTCAGCTAATAATTTCTGAACAAGGGAGGTTGGATGTGATAAGAAATTTTCCAAAACTCATTTTTCTCATTTTCCATCAATTTGTCAACTAAGTGAGAACCAATAAATCCAGCTCCTCCGGTAACCAGGATCCTCATGTTGGCCTGTCATCAACAATAAAATACAACATTAGAGATATAAATGAAACATAAATGACAGAAGAAGTCAAACTGTAATCCAAACTGAAGAACAAGAATTCTATGCAAATACACAAGATATCGAGCAGTGTTCACAAATGTAAGCTGAATACTTAACAATAGTAAAGGATTCTAGAACCCTCGAGCTTTTTGATCAGGAAGGAAAAGAAATTAGGATTTGTTCAGGAATAATCATGAACACGGTTATAAACAAATTAGTTACTTTAATGTTACTCCAAATTATCTCATGGCATTTATTCAGAAAAGACAGAAAATTATACATCAAGCAACAAAGAAACAAGAGAGGTCGGTTTTTCGAACGTGGCCAGCCAACATTTTTCTTTGAACATTTTACAAGATTAGCAATCACTGAACAGATTCACTACTAAATAAGAATGTCAACACACAATCAAACATAATAGTGAGAGTACAAATTCAGAAAGATGAATGCCATTGTATGTTCACACCTGAATCGATAGTATATCTGCGGGACCATGCGATGTCTGCCCTACTTAAAATTAATATAATTAAAGCATTCATCCTAAGCCAAAAGCCCGTAACCAAAGGCTAAGATCATTCAAGCATTTTAACAGGTTGTATTTCACAAAGAAAAGCTACCACCCAGATGCAGAAAACATCAGAGTCACTACCTTTCAATTAACACGGAGAAACAAAAGCTGCAATAACATGATAAAGAATACCAACATTTTAGCATTACATTAACATGGAGATGGCAAAGGTGGTGGCTTTGAGGATGTTTGTTGTTCCCCATTGGATGAATTTGTGGCCATTGTTCAGATCTTGCGTTTACCTCAATAACCTGCCAAAGAAAGGGACCTGATTGAGGAAAAAAAGATAAAAATCAACTGAAAGATGAACCTTTTCATGGATTTGAAGGGGGGAAAAAGAATTGATTTTTTAGATCAGAGATTAAAATAGAAGACGAATTCGAGGCAATGATCAGACAAAACTATTGAAGTGAGATTGATCTCTTACATGCACAAAAATAGCCTTATTTTGAGCCTAAAGAATGGTTTCATAATTCGGAACATCATCCCCCGAAATAAATTTTCAAAAATTAAAAATGGGTTGAATCGATAAATTTCATGATTACGAAAAGTGAAAGCTTTCAATGATAGATACTCGATAACAATCATAAACAATACAGATCAGACACCAAACTTAATTAAAACCCCAGATTTCAATCATTTAATTTTCCATCTTAATTACCTAAAACAAACGCGATTGAAGGGTCTTCGGTTTTTTGAGATTCGAGAATCGAGAGATTAGGAATTTGTTAATCAATAATTACTCTGCTAGGGAAGTTACATTTTAGTGTGTTTAAGGGGGAAACTAAAGGGAGATTATTATAAATTATCATTATTAGTGGCAATTAACGCGGATTCTTTGCGTTTGCGTTTGCGTTTACGATGTCTTTCCTTTTACTCGAGGTGCTTGCATCTTGTATGTTGTACTTGAAATCCTATGTACGTATCTTGTAGCTGCCACGTGTATAAAGTCAACGTGGAAAAATATAACTGGCGGGTAATTGCATTTATTTTTCTTGATTCGAGGGTTTGATTTTAACTTTTTAATTATTAGAAAATCTTGGTGATTTATATGGTTAATTGTGAACATATATACATTAAAAGTCAAGATTTTATAAGATGGAAGCTTGATTTGTATAAATTAATCAGAAAGGGACAGCCATTTTTTTTAATCAGAAAGGACTAGACTAATCAGTAAAGCTACTTCCAAACTTCCATTTTTGGGACCCCACTCTCAAACATTTTTAACTGTGCAAGCTTTAATCCTATATACAAATATACATATGCCCAAAGCCGACGGAAATGCCCAAAGCACGCACTCAACATAACTATTACTAGCATAGCATGTAATAATATATGTATATATATATATATATATATCATGGATGCAATGATCACCCAAAATGATGGCTTAAAAGAAGTCAATCACAATTACCAGAGACAGAGATTTCCCAATCTTATCAATCAAGTATACAATTGCATAGGATTCCCAAGCACCTTTAACAAACACATTCCTACATGTATTTTCAAGTTTGGCTATGATTACAGCAAATGTATCAGATAAATTTGCTCCTTCGCAGCAGCATGCCACCATCTGCAAAAGATGAGAGAGCAAGTCCTAATCTATCATCACTTGCATGGCTCCTGCTTGCAGTTTCTCAGCTCCAGGGCTCCCAAAACCTATTGAACCAGGCAAACGTCTCTCTCTCTGTGTCCATCTGACCAAATGTATTAATGCATTTGACCACATGAAGTAGGCTCCACACATTCCTGTAGGTTCTACTGCATTTATCTTTTTCTTTCGGTGCCAACAGTTCGCAACCAGTAATCACCTCGAGTTCACATTTCATCAAATGAAGGTTGACAGGAGGTGAAAAACAAAAGAAAAAACTATTACCTGGAGAACGGGGTTGGTCACTTAATCAAAAATCATAATTTGCACTAACTTTTTTTTTATATAATTTGCACTCACTTTTATAGTTCACAATACATAAAACTAAAAGAACAGAGTTGGGCTTTCGTGGATAACGGGTGTATGATTCTTAGGTCATTTCCAGTTAAGGTTTACGTGGAGGCTACCGCGTGGGCCGATGCAATCACACTGCCTTTTTTATGATTTTCTTCTTAAAACCTTTGGCTGTCCATGTGAGCTGCTTATTGCCACTTTCCACACAGTTCAAAGCTAAAAAGATATTGTTCAAAGGATTTGCCCATACCCCATTCAACTTTTATTTGCCTTCTCTTTTTTCCGCTTTTAACCGTTACAATCTGTCCTCAGCTTCCACAATATAATTATTTTATTTGTTTCAACCGGCTTAGTCAATATTGTTTTTCAAAGGGTTCCATGTTTGCAGAGAATATTTGGATATATAAGGTAATTTGATCCTTCCCCTAATGCTTTACTACAACGAATCTTAGCCCGTGAACTGCAGTAAAAGTGAAGGCTTTCTGGGGTCTTTGGGGTTCTTTCTTTATCTACTGCAATATTCCATTGTTGTTTCTGGCTAACTTCAGATGAAAGTTCTGGCATGCTTTAAAGGTCCTTTTTTCTTTCTCTCTCCTTACATTTTCTCTTATATATGATACAGACCTGAGATGGAGGGAAACCTTGTGGAGTTTGCAAAACCAAGTTTTAGTCTTTAGAATATATTTTCTGGAGATATGAAGTGAATTTTTGAACCAAAGATGAAATCATTCAGTGGGTTAGGGATTGGTTTAAGTTTGGTTTTTGGCTGTCTTGTATTGGCTCTTGTTGCGGAGCTTTACTATTTGCTTTGGTGGAAGAAGAAGAGAGTTGCTAGCTCTGAAGTTGAATACGATTACATCAACTACGCAAGGGAGCTTGTTCAACTCTTCTGCTGGAAGAAATCATCAACTCCTTTACATGCACCCACCATCGCCAACAACCACCAAGATATTAATGGTGTCGAGCTAGACCTCGAACTGGGGTCGACCAAGGGTTTGCAGCTAACGGGTGGGTTTGGAGAAGAGGACGTCGAATCAGAGCTGATGAGGCTCCACAATCTGTCTGGTCCACCCAGATTCCTCTTCACCATCAAAGAGGAAACAAAGGAAGATTTGGAGTCTGAAGATAAAGGTTCAAGAAGAAGGAACTTGAATGATGATATGCTACCTATGGACACTCCTTTCCATAGTCCTTTGTCTTCTCCGCCATTGAAGTCACCTTTGGGTTACCGCCAAGGATTCAATCCTCTCTTTGAATCATCGACGGATGCTGAGTTAAATAAGCTGAGATCTTCACCTCCTCCAAAGTTCAAGTTCTTGAGGGATGCAGAAGAGAAACTTTTACAGAGATTGATGTTAGAAGCTGAGAAAATGGTACAAAGAAATGGTGGTTCCTTTCAAGATTATGGTGTTAAAGCTGTTAATAGTGCTACAATTTCAACAGAAGGGACAATGATAGAAGGGTCTTTCCTTAAATTCATTGTTGGTAAGAACAGGGAACCTCTCCAGTGTTTACCACATTATCCTTCAAGTTCTTCTCAGGTGTTGCCATTGGCTTCTTCTCCTACAACATTCAGACCACCAGACAACCAAGACAGTATGCATTAGATTCCTGCTAGACGAGTTTTTTTCCCTTCAATTTATTCTTTTAATCCACCAATTCATCTTGAATTAAGACAAAATGACATATTCTAAGATCAATGTTAGGGTATTGGTTTTGTTAGTTCAAAGTGGGGGGGGGCAATCTGGTTTTGCCCCATCATCTTCCATATCCCCCGAGTCTCACTCAAACTGCCATTCCTTCATTGTGCTACATTTCTTAATTCTTAGCCAGCAATATGAAAGTGATTAAAGTTTTCAGACATTGTTTAAGGCATGTATTTTCACGAGCTAATGATAAGTCGAAATGGTGTACAGCTAATCCTTTATTGTTTTTTTCCCTGATTCAAACAGATGGAACCCTGTCTGATTATACAGTTTGTCATTTTGTTAATCAAAAGTCAGCAAACAATGCATGGTGTAAACCAAAGTTTTCCCACTATCCTAAACCATCGCTCCTGTCCAATGAATGATTAACAAGAATCTAATCATTGTATTAATTAAAATCACCCTTTGTTGTAAACAGTTTATACTGACCAGAACAATCAATTAGTTTAGCACGCAAGCTACCTTGACTTGGCATCTCCATTCATGTAATTTATACCAACTTAAATACTAAGATTTATTTATGTTTTTCCAAATTCGAATCCTTAAAAAATGAATGGCAGCATCTGCTGCAACGTACAGAATTTGAAAAGGATAAAGTAAAAAGATCTAAGAGGCCAAACCGGGTCGTTCTGCGGTGCGGCGCCTAAAAAACGGCTAATATACGGCGTGACCGGTTAAACAAGTGACCGGTTAAAATTTAGACCGGTTATGTTATATTATTTAACCGGAAATATTATAAAGTACAATAACATACTAGGTAGCGCTTATATAATGTAATAGGTAGCGCTTATATTTACCTATTTTATAAGTAAACCAGTATATTTATACCGATAGCATTGCAAATTTACCTATTACATTATATTATATTGAAAGTGTCCATACTTTTTATAAAAAGGATCGATACTTTAACAGTGTTTCATGTTTTCCACCTACAATATTGATTTAATAATTTCATTTGCACAAAAAATTATTTGATTGTTTTGATATTTTATAAAATATTATTTAGAATTTTTAATTTAATAATAATATATACCGTAACGTAAAAAATAAATCATTAGACGCCTATAATTACTAAATTAATATCTTAAAACTCACTCAAAAGATAACCTTAAATTAATGTTTTCCACAGTGAAAAAAGTATGGACACTTTTATAAAAAGGATAGACACTTTACAATATAACCATTACCTATTACATATATAAACGATACCTATTACATTATATAAGGGCTACCTATTACATCATATGTTTACCTATTATATTGAAAGTGTCCATACTTTTTATAAAAAGGATCGATACTTTTTTTAAAACTTATGTAATTTATGTTTCAATTTTTTTAACAGTGTTTCATGTTTTCCACCTACAATATTGATTTAATAATTTCATTTGCACAAAAAATTATTTGATTGTTTTGATATTTTATAAAATATTATTTAGAATTTTTAATTTAATAATAATATATACCGTAACGTAAAAAATAAATCATTAGACGCCTATAATTACTAAATTAATATCTTAAAACTCACTCAAAAGATAACCTTAAATTAATGTTTTCCACAGTGAAAAAAGTATGGACACTTTTATAAAAAGGATAGACACTTTACAATATAACCATTACCTATTACATTATATAAACGATACCTATTACATTATATAAGGGCTACCTATTACATCATATGTTTACCTATTATATTGAAAGTGTCCATACTTTTTATAAAAGGATCGATACTTTTTTTAAAACTTATGTAATTTATGTTTCAATTTTTTTAACAGTGTTTCATGTTTTCCACCTACAATATTGATTTAATAATTTCATTTGCACAAAAAATTATTTGATTGTTTTGATATTTTATAAAATATTATTTAGAATTTTTAATTTAATAATAATATATACCGTAACGTAAAAATAAATCATTAGACGCCTATAATTACTAAATTAATATCTTAAAACTCACTCAAAAGATAACCTTAAATTAATGTTTTCCACAGTGAAAAAGTATGGACACTTTTATAAAAAGGATAGACACTTTACAATATAACCATTACCTATTACATTATATAAACGATACATATTACATTATATAAGGGCTACCTATTACATCATATGTTTACCTATTATATTGAAAGTGTCCATACTTTTTATAAAAAGGATCGATACTTTTTTTAAAACTTATGTAATTTATGTTTCAATTTTTTTAACAGTGTACTGCGAATTTAAAATGATAATATACTTGTAGTTATTGTACATACCTAAATATGTACTGCGAATTTAATGTTGTACCCACCCTTTAACTACAGAAACATGTTCAAAATGAACCTTCGTTTACATATCCATCAACTCCTGGAGCACTGAACTTGCACAACAAAATTTTTGCCATGGATAATACTGATGTAGACAATGTTAAGCCAACCGAGGAATGCCATGAAGTACATAATGTTGATGAATCTGACAGATTGGTTGGTCAGCTCTTCTGTTCACGTGATCAAGCTTGGCACTTTTACAAGGGATTCGCACGGGAACATGGGTTTAGTGCACGTAAGGGAACAACACGGCTTGACGTGGAAGGGAATGTGAAGACACAAGAATTTTGTTGTTCCAAAGAAGGGTTTCGAGTATCAAAAGTCAATACTGTTGATCGCCAACGTGCTCATACGCCAGTCACAAGAACAGGATGTAAGGCTAGAGTCGTAGTTACAGCAACAAATACAAACGATCAGTGGGTTATAAGTAAGTCTGATCAGAAACATAATCATGCATTGTGCACATCTGCTATGACACCATTTATGCGTTCTAATCGAGCTGTAAGTAAGGCTGATATCGATGAGGCAACAACATTGAAAGAGGTCGGTGTTGGCACGTCACAAGTAATGAACTATTTAACGCAGCAGGCAGGGGGCTATCATAATGTTGGATTTACACATAAAGACCTCTACAATGCACTTCAAAGAGGTAAAGCAAAGGAAATCGTCGATGGGGATGTGAATGCGCTTATTGCCTACTTTGATTATAAGAAACATGATGATCCCGGGTTTTTTATGACATACTCGGTAGACGAATCGGGGGCATTGTATAATCTTATTTGGTCGGATTCTACATCGAGATCGGATTACACATGCTTCGGTGATGTAATTGCGTTCGACACAACGTACAAAGATAATTTGTATGGTCGACCAATTATGCCTATTGTTGGTGTCAATCATCACCATAACACAATTGTGTTTGCCACTGCCATAATCGCTGACGAAACGTCTCAATCTTTCGAGTGGGTGCTACAGAATTTTTTAGAAGCCATGATGAATAAATCACCTATTTCTGTTGTAACCGATGGGGATAGGGCAATGCAGAGGGCTATCAAATCTGTTATCCCTTATGCTAAGCACAGATTATGTTCTTGGCATCTTTCTCGCAATGCACAAGCTAACATTGGTGACCCAAAGTTTACAGCAGCATTCTCAAAATGCATGGCTTCCTGGTGGACAACCAAGGAATTTGATATTCAATGGCGTTCGATTGTTTCAGAATTCAACGTCCAAAAGCATCCATGGGTGATTGAGAAGGGAAATACATGACACTTATGGGCACAAGCATATCTAACCGGTCATTTCTTTGCCAATATTCGCTCAACACAAAGGTGCGAGTCTATGAATGCTTCACTAGCTATTGCACTGAAACACAAGAAGACATATTTAGATGTTGTTCGTGCAATTGAAGATGGAATTAGTAGAATGCGTATGAACGAGTTGAAAGCGGATTACTTAAGTTCCCATACGAAGCCCTTCCAGATCACAAAACTGGTCGACCTTGAAAGCCATGCCGCTGCGATTTTTACCCGCGAATCTTTTCGTGTGTTCCAAGATGAACTTACACGGGAGACATTGTACCGGATTGAGGCAGAGATTAAGTCCTTATCAGATGAATGTCAACATTATATTTTGTCAAAGTACGCAGAAAAAAATAGGAAATTTGAAATTAGTTTTGATTCTCGTACGAAAACTCTAATTTGCTCCTGCAAAAAATTCGAGACCGTTGGACTTCCGTGTCGCCATCAACTTCACATTTTGAAGCAATTGGACTACACATATTTGCCCGGGACTTTGATTCAAAGTAGGTGGACTAATGATGCGAAGGCTTCTGCACCCAGCTATGTTGATTTGAATGTGTCTCCAGAAGTGATGCAAATGGCAAGGTTCGCTGCTCTACGTTCAACGTCAAGTAGGTTATGCTACATTGCATCAAAGACAGACGAGTCTTTCAAAACCGCAAGAGATGAGATGAAAAAACTAATAGAAGAATTAGAAAACTCGTTTGGTTTGAATCATTCAGTCAACCAGAGCATTGTAGTAAACAATGTTCGTGACCCTCAACGAAAACAACGCAAGCGAAAAGAAGTGCCGAAGAACAAGGTCGAGAAGCAAATTAGGCGATGTGGGTACTGCAACGGTGAGGGGCATAACAAACTAACATGTCCTCAAGTCAAGCTTAGTTTGAGTACAAGCACACAGCCTACATCAACTGATTTTTTCGAAGACGGAATGGAATGACAACGATCTCCATATAATATATCGTAAGTATCAACATCACTCCTATTGTATGTACATATAAATATTTTGAATGAAGGAAGAAAAACCGCGTTACTTCAAATTACCGACACTTTTTTAAATGGTATGGACATAAAGTACCGACACAATATTAAAAAGTGTCGATATAGGTTGTAGACCTATTCGCTCATAAAACCGGTATATTTATACCGGTTATATTACAAAATTATCTATTACATTATAATTATGGGTTCCGATGTGTAAAATGTCGACACTTTTTTAAATTGTATCGACACATTTTTCTTCCAATATGGACATAAAGTACCGACACAATATTAAAAAGTGTCGATATAGGTTGTAGACCTATTCGCGCATAAGACCGGTATATTTATACCGGTTATATTACAAAATTATCTATTACATTATAATTATGGGTTCCGATGTGTAAAATGTCGACACTTTTTTAAATTGTATCGACACATTTTCTTCCAATATGGACATAAAGTACCGACACAATATTAAAAAGTGTCGATATAGGTTGTAGACCTATTCGCGCATAAGACCGGTATATTTATACCGGTTATATTACAAAATTATCTATTACATTATAATTATGGGTTCCGATGTGTAAAATGTCGACACTTTTTGAAATCG